AGGTGGAGCCAGACCAGGATGCCCTGCACCTCATCTGCATATAAAGTTTTGGGACTTCCCAGGACTCATGACAAGAAGACCCAATTCTAGTCATGAGCAGGACAGAGAGGCGAGGGGCTAATTAACACATGGATCCTGTGTGGGGTGGGTATCTGGAGTATACATATACTCAGCAGTGCTGAGCAATGGGGTCATCATGGCTTGAAACACCAGCTCAACAGACTATGTGGTAAATCATGAGCCTTTTGGCTCTGGACCAATATCATGCAGAGTTTGTATTCTATAAAAAGAGGTACAAAAGTGCTGCTTAAAAGTGTGTTTATGGAGTACCTGCACTAGAACTTGCAGCAGTTTAAATAAAAAGTAAAATGCATCAATTCTGAATTAACTAAATTACTCAAGAAATGTTTATTTCAAGGTCATTATTTTAAAATTTACCCCTCACTTCCATGTACTGATGGAGCGCAGGTTCTGATGGTAAGGGGGGAGAAGGGGCTGCACGGCAAGGAAGCTGGGGGGCAGAGAGCAAGGGGGCCACCTGACTTCCCCCTGATTTATTTTCCCTGCTGTAGCAAGAAGAAGAGGACAAATTCAAGGCAAATCTCCAATAATTAGGTTCTATACCTGGAAAATGATAACAAATTTATAAATTTTCCATATATAAAATCTAATTATGGGGGCAATCGTCGTTTATTTGAGTAGATATGTACATAACCAGTGAAGACTTTTTACTGAAGGTTATCAAATAGTACTTAATATTATCATCACCCTCCCCAAACTTCTCAATTACATAAAAAATATCCATCTACTTTTTGCTCAAGCCAACAAACGTCACTGAGAATTCCTACAAACATTGAAATCTTTGCAACTGGAATAAGCAGCATGAAAACATTTTGATATAAAAAAATCATATCCTAAAGTTTATAATCTATTAATAAAGCATCATCATAAGAAGGACCCTGTTGTATAGATGTAACACTCAATATTAATAGAGTAGTGAGATATTTACCTAATTTGGAGGAAAGAGAAAAGCTTCATATAATTCAATATGACTCTGAACTGACCCATGAGCCATCAGATAATTTCCTCGTTGTAAGATAAATATTACTCCAATTCCAACAATTTATCCTCAATAACGTGTCTCACATAACTGAAGCTTTTACAAATGTCAAAGCTTATTACATTACTAATTACCAGTTACCAGAACTGTTAAAGTTCAACAATGAAAAAGCTTAATACTTAGAGGTACATATACAGATATGACTAAACAGTGGAAAACATTAATAGTGCAATCATAAACAATAAGAATCAAGCTAAATAGATTCTCTGCCCTTTTTTTGTCACGCACGTCCAATGTGACATTATCTATGTACAATGCACTGTCAAACTATCATTAAATACTTTGTTAATGTTTTGGTTTATATATTAATTTACCATTAACTGTAAAATAAGTTTCCTATCACAGGGAAGGATTATGACACAATGACAAAACACTATTTTTACCAGGATGCCTTATGAAATAAAATGTGTGTTATCTAGGCATTGTGCAGTTTTCATAAGGTGAATTTGCATCAGTTAGTCCAGTTAAATATCAAACACTGGCAGGTTACATATTAGTACAAAGTCAAAATACACAAATATACCTAAACATGGAATATGGGCATTACATAGGAAAAACAATTCCCCTTGCTTGTATTAAAAGATGCAAAGTTTTAACAAGAATTTGGGGGAGGAAGTTGTGGGGAATAGAGGGTGACAATGCTGATTTTAGTAGCTCACGAACTCTGATATAACTCCATTCTCAGAACATAATATGAGAAAGAACTACTATACTGAAAGACACACAAACCTCATAGCAGGGTGTCTGAGGTTGATCGGTCAACTGTTTTATACTTTTTCTATTCCCCTGTAAGGATAATAGAAATGTGATGGGGGAAAAATTATAGAAAACAATAGCAAGGGGAAAATGCATAAAAAATAGAAAGGAAGAATGTTTATAATTTCACTTTTTTTATACAAGAGTTCCATGTTGAAATATCATAGAAAGTAGTACAATTTGTCTTTATGGTATGATTAGACTTTTTAAAAAAGAAGGCATTGTATATTATAAAAGGTAGCACATGTATCATCTGAAACAGAGGCTGCTACAATAGTTGAATATAAGAAACTAGAAAAATGCTATACAACAGCAAAACAAATTCATCTAATCTTGCTACTGTATTATCTTTTTCAAATATGCAGTCTTCCCTTTCCTTTTTCCATAAAGGGCAGCGAACTCATATGGACACATACACACATAACTACTTTTCTTTTTAAAAACAATGCTGACTGCTCGGTTTTGCCTTGTACACATTTACAGTGGTACACACCAGTTTTCTGAAACTTAAATGTATTGAACCATGGACATTCTTTTCTTACCAGTATTTTTATTTATTTATAGTATTACATACACCAAGGTTTTGCATATAACAAGTCCAGCTCCCAAAAATCTATTTGCATAAATATCACAGGATTTAAAAAATGTTTTAGGATTCTTTATTTGCCTTAAAAAAAATTAGGATTCATATTCTGGGAAATATTTTTCAATATAGTCATAAAGACTCAGAAATCATGTTAAAAAATTAAACCTGATATATTCAAGTAATCTGATTACGGGACCTAGGGTTCTAACGACAAAAATGCCCAACCAAAAAAAAAATACCAAAACACTGCGTGCATCTACACATGCGCATTTACTGCGCAGTAACCAAAATGATTGTGCAGTACGGGCATGCATCTAGACATGCATGCCTGTATTGTGCAGTAAATATGGAGACTTATGCTGACTTGAGTGTAAATTTGATACCTGCATCATGCAGGTATCAAATTTATGCCCAATTAGTTACTGCACAGTAATGCACGTGTAGATGCCTTACTGAGCAGTACCCAGGGGGCCACCCTGCTGGGTATGCCCAGCCATTACGGGGCCAGCCTGAGCCCAGCCCCAGGGCTCCGGGCTGGCCACCTCTCCTGGCTTCAACTTGGGACTGAAGTTAGTCCCAAGGGTTGGCAGCCATGTGGCAGGAAGCTGGAGCTCCTCCCAGTGGCCACAGGGGCACATAGCAGGCTGCTCTGAACGTGTAGACACCAGCCTATTCCTGCTTACTGTGCAGTAAATTTAAGCTGGTATAAATGCATGTGTAGACACACCGACTGACAATAAACTAAGAGCTGGCAACACTGTGTTTAAAATACACTTTATGTAGAAAACCCATGTCCCTAAACAAGGTTACAAGCTTATGCCCACAGTAAAGGGATCCCTTCTTGTATTTTAGGTCTACTTCAGCAACACATGGAACCGATGTTCAATGAAGTTTTAAGTCATAGGTGCACACACAATTTTGCTTTCCTGGGCTTCTGTCAAAGACTATATAAATAAATTCTGAAATACCTTTGTCCATTAAAAAAATCCTCTCCTTACATAACTGAAGTTAAATTCTTTGGCAATCATTTGAAAAAAAAAAACACCCCATAATACACACACACAATAAATGGAAAATTCTGTCCTGCATTGAGGTAATCTGAGGCATGACAAAAAAAGTTTAATTATTAACATTAGCCATTTTTTCCTGATTAAAAGAGGGGCTCACACTTTCCAGCTGCACTCTGTGGAGGCCTCTTTCAATCACTGCCTAGTCTTAAGAAACCTTGCTCCACATGTCCAATTCTATGCATTGAGTAATAAAGCAGTGAGCATGTAAGGGAGCAATCATTCTGTAAGAAAGCAAACCAAACCTTTTTTTGAATTATGAACTTGAATGAACAAGACTAACTGCCCATCCTCCCAGAATACTCATAAATTAGAATGCTGCCACACAATACAAACACTGTAGCTTACAGTGAAGTAGGAAAGCAAGAAAAGATGGTTCATGAAGACATGACAGACACTATCTGAATATCCTTTAAAGAGGTCAGTGTTAAGTACATTTTAAAAAACTGTCCATTGTTTGCATGCCCCTTTAGTACAATAGTTCAAAAATAATGTGACTTAGCAAGCAGTATTTGTTTTGGTTGTTGCTGTAAACTTAATGGAACATAAACCCATTCCTTTGTTTGTTTACCAGTGTAATCTACTGTGCCAGATGATCATGGGATTGGCTCTTATTTTATCTACAGCAGAAGAACATATAGCTATGTACTTCAGCATAATCTGGGCTTTTTGCCCCCCTTTTTTCAAATTTCTTGGCAACATAGTGGCACATGGTCTTTTTTTCAAAAAAGAATAACCATCAAGATTTTTACTTTCCAGGGACAAATCTTCCTCACGTTAAGACAAACGATACAGATTGGTCAAAAGTAGGACCTAGTAATACTTGACACTGTTCCCTTTCATTGTGAAAAACAAACTTTTTAAAACCAAATGCAAATTTTCTCTAGTATCAGATAGTAAATACAAATGAGTACATATCTAGGAATGTGCTCTTTAATTTTCAAGGGTTAGCAAAGCTTCTGCTGCTGAGGGTATTCAGTTAATAAAAACCAAGGCTCTTTTGCTGGCAAGATCTTGCATTCTCACGAATAGCAAAGAGATATATTTTTATACGAGTTTACTTACAACTGTATATAGGCATACACAAATTTGTATCAACATATTATCTAAAAATACTTCAGTAGTTTTCCTGTAATTTTAACTTCTATGGTTATTTACATTCTGTTTTCTATTATAAATAATTTGTGAAAAATTAAGCTGTCAATTATGAAGCTACTTCTTGTTTAAGTCATATTACTACATTCATTCTTAATTGACATGTGGTTGCTCATTCTGTGCTTCGGGGAGTATTACCACATTTACTAAATCTGCTTGTATGACCTACCAATGCAGTAACAAGAAACAGGTGGAATATAGCTATGCAGATAAGCTATGCACAATGTTTTGGTATGAGCCTTTAAAAGAAATTATTAAAATAGTATGAATAAAAGTTTACCCCACAAATTGACATAGCTGTTACTTTTTTTTTTTGACTTTTTCATACATAGGATATGTAAAATGAATTTGCTGCTCACTTAAATAAGGACTGCATTAATATTTTTGCACAATAAATTAAGTGGCATTGTTACTTCTTAACAGTTCAAATATGCTACGGAAATTCAAGGTAACCAACGAACTCCATTAAATGAATCATGAGAAAAAAAATCTTTGTGATTTTCCATTTGACAAGCCAATTGGTAAACTTTGTGAGGTACCGGTTTTCCAAAACACTCATAAATTAATGACCTGAAATACCTACTGTACATGGCAAATTTAAAGATCTAACTATACAATGTTTCAATCATATATAATGCACATTATTTGCTGAATATGGCACAGTCGCTAAGTGTTCACACCCACAAGTCCTTTGCCACCGAACATATTTAAGTAAAACACAACACTGAAGAATGAATAGAAAAGTGCCTATAACCAAAAAAAAAAAAAAAAAGAAAGACGCACAAGTAGTAATAAATTAAATCTTATTAAAACTGATATCAAAGTTGTTCAAGTGTTTAAAATACCAGATGTGCCATGCAACAGAAAAACGGACAATTCAAGCAGGCATACCATGCATTATAGTTTGCATTCATGGTATACAAGTTGTCTTTAACCATATTCCTTGGCCAGTGAGTGCTAGGTACCTGAGGCAATGTCAGTTCACATGCAAAACTAAAAATGATCCATCTCTGTACAGAACCTTTTAGGGCAGCTGTGCCTCAAATATATTGAGGCTACCTTATGCTGTACAGTGATATGTTACTGCACTGTAAAAGGAGCCACACTGGGCCACCTAAAGCAAAGCAATTGTTTCTTAAATACACTTTCCAGGCAACACATTTCACCATACACAGATCTCTTAACCAAAATGTGCTTATTTGAACCAGTCAAGTTTAAACACTAAGCAAACATCATCATGGAATTTATAACCTCTTTTTTGGCACAAAACCTCTCAGATTCATACATCAGGCTCTTCCCCACACAAGAATACAGATATATTAACTTGCATGGTATACCAGTGCCTACTCATCCATATAGTAAACTACAAAGACAGCAAAGTGCCTTCAATGGCTTTGCTTAACTAGCAGTTCTTCCTCTTTCCAGTGATAGCACCAGTATAATTACACATCAGACAAAGGTGTGTTCTTGCTAAGCTCTTTAATTCCCTGGAGAATTCGCTTCATATGTCCCACTTTCGTTATCCCCAGGTCCTATTAAAAAAAGAAGGAAAAAAAGGAAGGTTTATTTAGTAAAGAGAAACCCAATGGTTTCAGGCATGCAGCAGACAATTAGAAATGTAGTTAACATCAGAGGTGAACAGATATATCGGTCCATATCGGATCAGCACCGATAAAAGGAAAAATGACATTATCGGCAATCAGCTTTTTTTGGCTAGGGTAGCTGATACTATCACTGATAAATACCATGTACACGTGCACAGCTGCAGCATGCACACAGCCAGGAATGCAGCCCGGCAGCATCTGGCTGGTAAGTCTGTGGAGAGGAAGAGGCATGGGTAGGGGTGCAGATCAAGTCCCCCACGGTGAGGAAGGCAGGGACAGGCAGGTGCTTTCCAGCTGGAGTGGGGCATGGGGCAGAGCCATGGGCGGCTCATCTGAGAGGGCTTGGTTGGGGGGGTAGCTCCCACCTCTGTGTGCACGCCACGGGAGGCACAGTGGTCATGTGCCTCTAGGACTTGTGCACAGGGCAAAGGCGGGCTGCCCACTGTGGACTTGGGGCCAGGGGCTGTGGCAACATTTTCCCAACAGGGGGGCTGGGCTGGGGCTGCACTCAGGGCAGGTGGTGGCAGCATTGGGAGGGGTGGCTATGGGGCAGACTACGCCACCAACCCTCCCAACATTGCCACTGCCTGCCCTGCCCACCTCGAGCACAGCACTGACCCGGCCCCCCTGCCGGGAAGATGCCAGTGCAGCCCCTGGCCCTGAGCCTGCAGTCCACCCTTGCCCCACACACAAATCTGCAGGCAGATGCCCTCTTTGCCACCCCCAGGGTACGCACAGTGGCAAGAGCTTCCCCCCCTCCCCGTGCCCCCCAAACAAGCCACCCATGGTTCCATCTTCTGCTTTGCCCTGGCAGGGCAGCACCTGCCTGCCCTTGTCCCACTCCCTCCCTCACCGTGGGGGCCATGATCTGCCCCCCTATACCCCTTCCCCTATCCCCCCCCCTCGACTTACTGGCTGGACACTGCTTTACAAGCTGCTGTGCTGTATATTGGCTATTAGATAGGTACTGGCCAGTAGGGCTGGTTCATAAAATATTTATCAGTGCACCACTAGTTAACATTGCAAGTTGTTTAGCATTAACTGGAAGTAATTCCGTATATATAGCAAAATATATATAATGTTACCAAACACTGCAAAAAGTGCATGTTATAGCCCACAACATTCGGAGTCTCTTTGTTATGCACTGGTAAGCTACTTACCTGCAAGAAGTACTATTAGAAGGTACAGCTTTACCCCTTTCCACCCAAACTCTTACTTTTATATTCACCTGCCTTCTACATACAGATGTTTTGTTTGTCAGTTTTCAAGTTGCTCAATCTCCTCCTCCTCTCTAACAAAACCACCATGGGTTTCAAAGCATGTGATGAATCAGAGCTTCTCTCCATCAATTTCATCTGTGGCCCCCAAATACCTATTTAAAATCAGCAAACACACATATCCCCAATCTCTCAAGGGTAAGCGGATATTCGTTTACCAGTATGTCGGACAACTTCCCTTCAGAGAACAATAGAGTAACTGATTGCCTTATTATAGGAAGGCAAGTATCCTAATATGGATACACTTGACAATTTTAGAGAGCTAAAGGAACGTTTCTGACAGACATGAAATTCACACCCCCAAGGAAAATAGGAAAGTACACACGCGTACACACACACACACACACAATATACAAATCTCTAGCTGTACCATGTGAGAAAACTATCATCAGCTGAAATGCTGTTGGTGATGGTTTCTGTGATTCACCTGTAGAGAGGAGCAACAGGAAGAACCTTTAGGAAAAGAACTCCCCCCACCCTCCAACCCACCCAGATTACTTAAGAATTATGTGTTTTTGTTTGTATGTACAGGGCTTATACTTGCGATAGCAAATGAAACAGTAAGGCATTTCATCCATGTTTAATTCTGCCTGGTCTGAGGGTCAGAATGGGATTCCTGACTCTTCGACTGACTGTGGGATTTGAAGCAATTCATCCAAGCGACATGGGTCCCAGCTCCCCCATCCGGAAATTCCATTTGGAATCATTAGGATAATACCATCAAATAAAGTGTCAGGTATGAATATTCAAGTTATTGAAAAATAATAGGCTTAAGTGTATAGATTACAATAATGTGAATAAAATACCACACATTAACATTTCTGAAATGTAATGCTTTCCATTCAAGATGACAATTTTCCCTGGAAAGGACAGCTAAAAGGGAAAGAGCAGCAGCATGAAATAATTCTTGTAAAAATGACAGTAAGGATATAGGATGATATACAGACTTTGTGCACAGTTTACATATAATTTTTTGCAACCACGAAAAAGACTTGGGAAATCTTCATTGTGGATCATTTGTACTTGACACAGATTACTGTACCATTTTGTTTTCCATTCATCCACCTAAGGCAAGAAAAGTGTCGTATAAAAATGGATACAAATTCCTTGTTTTATATTAAATGTAAGGTAGTACAAATTTAACAGATTAAACTGTCTTCACCTTTAAAAAGGCAAGCTCAATTTCTGGTTAAGTTAGAAAGAAATGCATCCTATTTCTGCAAAGAGGCTCCTAATTTTTATGATTTTTGATAGGTGAACATTGCTAAATAATTTTTTCAGGGATGATGAAGAGGAAAGGATCATATTGTACTGTTTTTAGATCATCAACTCTTTCACCAACCTTGGCCAAGGGTCATCAAATTCATGCTTTCATTAGTTGTGGACAGGGGTGGTGCTAGTCTCTTCCTGGTGGGGGGCAGGGGGCTAAGGTGGACTACACAGAAAACTGTGGGGGCTGCACTGCAGGCAGGAGTGGGGCGGGCAGCGGTGGACTGGAGGGGAGGTGCAGTGCTGGGAGGGGTGGCTACGGGGAAGCTAAGACAAATTTTGGAGTGCCTATTGATGCCCTCCTCCCCCCAAGGTCCCCCCAATGCTGCCCCTGGTCGTGGATAGCAAGATTTTATTTCCATTCTATTCTGAAGTGACTATAATTTGAACTAAATTTAGACTAAAACAGCAGATCCTCAATTGCAATACAGCTCTGGCAGTCCCTCAGTTAAATTCTGCTGCACTCAAGAAAAACCCCAAAACGAAACAAAGGAAAAACATCCACTCCTATAAATAAATGTGAAGAAGCTTAGAAATTTTCACTGTGGAAGTTCACCCAAATCTTTATGCTGGGAAGAAACCATACATGCTAAAAACTGTCTAGAACTCCCAACTACTTACTACTGCAAAAATGTTTGCAGGGATATTTTTGCTCTAACTTTTGTCCTAAGGGAGGCATTTATGATAGAGGCATATTGGAAATAATTAGCAGAAATGCAGAGCTCTAAAACAAGTGTATGTTAATTACCTTAAGTACTGTATCATCTATCCCCAATTCGTATCTGCTTAATAAAGCTTCCAATTGACCAAAATTTGGCTTGTCCCATGGATTTTTCAAAGTTGATAGTCTTGCCAGTATTTGAAGGGAAAGAGTAGCACGTTTTTTTCAAGGATGGTTCAACACCAGGATGCCCTTTCAGCCGTTCTCTCCTTATGCCCCTTTCCCCTCACCCATACGTTCACCGTATAGTTATAGCAAGACAGATGCAAGAACTCCAGACATCAAAAAACAGGTAAGAACCCAATAAAAGTTCTTATAACATTTCTCTTCTCGTAGCAACTTTCAAAAAAAGTATTGTAAATGTATTTACCATGAACACTTATAAAGCCAGAACCACTGCAACAACATGGCTTGTTTAAACAGAAGCTATTCGTTACACTGCTTTATATCACTAGTGACTACTGATGCATCGAGCATATGGTACTTGTTATCCTCCTAAGGGCAAAGTGGGGGATTTAGATTAGCAGCATTGCAATAATTCAACCTGCCTTCACCTATTCATACCTCCTCCAAAAATGTGTATATATAGCACAGTAGCTGCCAACCAGACTATTTTGGCAAAGTATCTATCAGCTGGGATGCCATGGTTTCTTATCTCATCCTATGGCTTCCCAGATTATAGGAGAATCATCTGGGAACATGATTCTCTAAGGGAGTTTTCTTGAAGAGCAGAGACAGAACTCAAGTTCAGCATAAGCCAACTTGCTGCAACTTCTGTAACACTGTCACTCCGTGTTTTGCTGCCTACCCCACCTCAAAAGCAGCAAGTGATCTTGGGGATGGTGGGGAAGGGGGAGGATTAAGACTCCCTCCTTCAACTAAGATCAGGCATATGGGATCAGTGAAAAAGCATTATAAAGAGGCAAAACAGGCAGAATGCTGGCAGACCTTTGCCACCATTTGGAGGTGTACTCCATTTTAGACAACTCCCACAGAGACCATTAAGTGGGAGCCAGACCCACTAACTAGGGAGAGAGAAAAACTGCGGGTGTCAGAGATTCCTCAGTCTAGTGAATTACCTCTGATCCATTTTGGTGCTAGACAGAGAAGAAAGTAAGTCTTATGCAGCAGGTTACCTCAGATGGAGTAGGGGAAACTGGGGCCAGTTCTGGGCTGGCCCCAACAGCCTTACCTGGGGCCCTGGGGGCTTCCAGGGGCTGCAGCAGCAGTGATTCTGCTGCACAGAGCCTGGCTGGCAGCCAGAGTGTGGCTCCAGCTAGCCCAGCTCTGGTTTTGAATGCTGCCCCCTCATGCACTGCTCTATTTTTGTTTTGTATACACAGGTTTTTTGATCCCTGGATATCCAGGGGTCCAACCCCCACGACTACCCTGCGTTGCTCCCTTGCAATGCAGAGAACAGCTGAACGTTCAGTATGTGGCACCACAGACATGTCTGCAGCACCATGTACTGCATAGCCATGCTCGTTTGGACACGGCCGTAGAGGGTTTTCCTTGTGCTGGGATTGTTGATAACTTTTCCTTTCGACCAAAAAAGAGAAAGGTGGGCAACAAACACAAGTTGTTTCCTGCATCAAAGGCGAGGTGAGCAGGATATCCATTGCAGATAGTCTGAAAACAGAGCACAGCAACTGCAGATAACTGGTGGGTAATCCAAGATAGATCAACAGGCACTCTCAATGATCTCTCTCAATTCACAGCTTATATCAGACTGGTTTGCAAGACAGACTTAGTGCTGAACAAAATTATTCAAATATGACGACATAATGCAAACAGCACAAGCTCTGCTTGGCCAGAAAGACTGCCTGGCTCATCATGAGCACCTGTACTGGAAAACAACGGATATCCTGGCAAAAAAACATGATTCCATCTCACCCTCCATTCTTGTCTTATGGACAGTGACCTCTCAATCAGCTTCATCTGGTGATTTTAAATCTGCATCCTTGTTTCTAGAAATTATTAGATAGAAGTGTAGGTAAAGACTGGTCACATGATAGGCTCCATGGCTTTCTTTTAGCAATTTGAGACTATCACCCCTTTGAGTTGTACCAAATGTAGCTGATTCATTATTTATCTAAGCAAAAGAGATAGTAAGTTTATGATCATTTTGCTGAAGAAATCTAGCATGATTAAGTATCAGACTTTTGATTACACAATCAAACTGATCCTTGCACAAAGCCAAAGGAACTCCCTGTGCATGGGGTAATTCTCGGTCCACTTTCACAATTTTGATATGTTGAGATATGCTTCTTTCTAGAGAGTTCAATTTCTTATATATATCATTTTGACAAAATCAGGCCTAAGGAACATTCAGATTCCTATATAACTTTGAATTATTTGATATCTATTCAGAAGAGTCAAAATATCTTCTGGAGCGTACTGTCTGCATGGTTTTCTATTGACCCTTGTGCATTGGGCATCTGTGAGGCCTTTGGGAAGCATGGGATACGAAGAGGCTCAGGGTAGGGTAAAATAAGAATATAATCATGTCATCACCACCTTACAAGGAAGAATTTTGAACTATAGTAGCTATTTTTGCAACACTTTAATAGTATATCTGCATGAAACATTGCCTAGATCTGCAGTAGTGTTCAGATTCGACAGACTCAGTGGTTTGGGCTTTAGAGGTAAATGTTTGCAATTTATACAATATCCTATTTCCTATCTTATGCAATAAGAGCTGCAATTTGTTGCATGCAGATTTCTCAAAACACATTATCAAGAGGGCATTATTTGTGTTCCAGGAAAAAGTAATTTAACAAATCCCCAAGGATAGTATCTCTATTACATAAAATGGATGCACTTAAGTGTTCCTGAAAAAGACAGGCAAGCTCAAATAGCACCACTTCAAACTGCAAAGTAATTGTCATCTGCCTACTTACTATTTTCAGCAAACTAGCTTTTCTTTCTGCAGAAATTAGATCCCATTTCATCGAACCTGAACAGGGAACTGTTTTTAGATTTTGTAGAAAATGATCACAGAAAGAAAACTTGTTTTGTGGAGTGTGGGGGGGAGCTGGTTGTTGTTTGGTTTTTGGCACAATTATAACTAGAACAATAGGGGACCAAAAAAGTTGTTAAGATGGGGCTATTTACCTGACAAACAAGGATGTAAATGGTAGTCTATCAAACTGTTTCTCTCTCCCTCCCCCTTCACCCCCAAATAGCTATTGACATCCTGTGCTCATATAGCCAAAATGAACTTTTAGTGCTCACCAGATATATTTAAAATCATCATCACTAGTTTAATAAATTGCTTATGGATATTTCACTTTACACACAGATCTTATTTAATAAGCCCAAGTAAAATAAAGATGTTGTTAACAAATATAACACACTGGTGTCACTAAACCTGCTGACAGACTATCATTCTATATGACACACAAGAGAATAAAATCTTCAACTGCACTGATATACTTGACTACAAATACAGTTCAGCAGATAAGGAGTTCAGGCCACAGGAAAGTGCATATTAGTTTATTGCAAATATGCCCAGTATAAGCCAAGCTACAAGCATATAAAAGGAGCAAGAAAAGAGGAAAGGTTTATTTTGTTTCTATCAAAGAAAATTCTCAAGAGCAGAAAAGTAGCACAAAGGAAATACCTTAAGATCTCGCCTTTCCAGGTGTAAAAGCTCAGAGCCTCGGATGTCATGGCTGATGAAGATTTCTTTGTACTCTCCCAAACTGAGCAGATCCAGCCAAGCAGCAACTTCATCTGTGCCCCATTTTTGAACTACCAAAGTTAAGAGCAAAACCCCCTTAATTTCTACATGCTCAAATGCATTACAAGCAAAGGTTAGGCCAAAGAGAGTGGAAGACAGAATAGAACTGCCGTGCCAGCAAAAGGAAAGGTTAAAGGTAGTGTTTCCACAAAAACAGAGTTTCCATTTTACATGCAGGTTACAAGTTAGCAATAAATGTGAGAAGGTATCTATGCAAGTTGGGGATCTTTGCTTTGCAGCTGTGCTTTCAGCTTTACTCCGGTTTCCTCAATAAAGCGATCAAAATTAATATACTTCAACAGATGCACTTTTAACCATTTGAGGATCAGTAATACTAGGTCTAAGTTTGTTCTGATGTTACTAATAGCAATTTATCAGTTGTAGGCAGAAAAAACCCCTTCCCATTCTAACTAGAATATAAAAATCAGCATATAAAATGTATCTCAATAATAACTACTGCACCATGCAAATCTAATCTTAGAAATGTCTCTAGTTAACACTTAATTAACACAACAAACATTATGTTAGCCAAAACAGTTACACAGGCCATTAATAAGCTCTCTGTAAAACATTGTTCTCTAAGGTTAGTTGCCCACATTAGTTTTAGACCACATTTATATGAGGGAAATTAGGCTGTATTATTATTATTTCTTTAACACTTTGTGTATTCTTCTACGCAATGCTGATTAGCTTCAGACTGAGGTATTCTAATGTGACACATGATTTGTTTTAGGTTTGAAAACATCAATGAGCGGAGAAGTTAAATTCAAATTTGCAAGCTCATCTTGCTATGCTATCCAAACACGCTGCTGGATCAGAGACATGGATCCAGTCAGTTTTAGAACTACAGTTCAACCACATATTTTTCAGGGCATAATGCTAAGGCTGTATGTTCATAGATGCAATGAGGAGAGAGGAGTTTGTTCAACTTCTACTGTCTAAGAGAACAGGACTGGCTATCGCAGAGTTATGCTTGAGGTGCATAATTAGCTGATGTGAAAACAAAGCTAGAATATTAAGGGATAACTGAATGGATTAATTAATAATTAAAAGCTACTGTGCAGCCAGTGAAACTTAAGTCAGTGCTTGGAGAGGAAACAGAACTATCATGGGTCTTTGTGCTGCTAAGGGTTTGTTAAATATAATTACCCAGACAAATGCATGGGGACTCTAAACCAAAAAGTAGACAGAAATAACAATAGCTAGTTTTGGGGTTGTTTTTTAAAAATTATTATTATACATGTAACAGTTTGTGGAGGGGGCGGAGAGGGAGGAATCCTGATTGAGACCTGAAAAATGTATTGAGTGAACAGGTGAACTCCTATTCACCTGCATTCACCTAAATGGGGCCAGGTATAATGCATTATTTCAGCTTTTTATGAAAGATGTTTGTCCCCAGAAGTTATTTGTCTTTCAATGTCAAAACACATACCAGGCTGAGAGCTGGTCTTATGCTTTTGGACCTTTTCCTTTTTAAACTTTGGCACTATGCGAAATACTGTACTTCTGTTGTTTCTTTTAGCATAATCCAGAGGGGGATCCTGAATAAAAGAAAAGAAATAACTACCTTTAAGTAAAAAAACAACGAAAGTTCAAGTACATATTCGAAAAGGTAAATTACATGTATAATTAGTCTCAAAATCTGGTCCAAAATCTAATTTAGTACAGAATTGTGTCGGGATCTATCAAAACATATAGGATACCTAAAGGCTTCTTCTATTAAATAACTGCTGACACTTTAATTTCTTACATAAGAAAAAAGGAAAACTGGAAGCAGACTAAGCAGTAAAACTTAAAAGCTTGCTTGCAGCAGACAGAAGAGATCCAGGGTTATTATTAACACTGCCTCTAATGATGATAAGGGATACTAATTTATTCTTGTGTGGTAAAAAAAAATGGAAAAAAATATTAATCTGACCCACCTCATCATCATTTGATTGGAAAACATAATAAAGCCATGGAATCTCAGCGAGTTTTCTTAACTCAATCTCTACACTGTGCAAAGCGTCAGACAGCAGTTCTTCATGGTAGGATTCCAACTGCTGTTTTTGAAGCATCCAGGGGAAAAAAGAATACAACTTATTAGCTTTGTTAATGCAAGAAATGTTAACTACTTTATAAACTATACACTGCTGCCTAATACCAAACGTAAAGTAACAGGGAATTTCATACCAAACTTAACTTCCATGGCAAACATATCTAATCATCCTGGGCCTTTGTACATGCAACAAAATTGGCCTTTTAAGCAGTTTACAGTTGGCCCTTAAAGCAGTTTAAATGCCCTTTTGCACCACTTCAATGGCACTGCTGTTTCCATGCTTGATACTGTATTCCACCTTAAATGACTTTGTAACATAGCAAGATCAAATCCCTTGTGAGGTGTTTTAGTTTGCTACCTAACAAAGCGCAATGGTGCATGGGGCACTAGAGGCCGACGTGATCAGGGAAGCTCGGGCTTGGCAGGCTTCCAGCGCCCCATGCACTGTCCCTACCACCTTCTCCCACCACCGGCACACCCAGCCGCCCTCCTGCTCTGCCCCAGGGGCAAACCAGCCATTCCTGGGCAGTCCCAGAAGGCGAGGTGGCGGGGACGATGCAGGGGTGCTGGAGCTTACCTTTCTCTCCTGTGGCAGGAAGACAGGGGTGGGGCTGCTGCTGGTGCACAGAGCGGTCCCTGAGCTGTGGGGGACCCGGGTGTTTCCCTCCTCAGCGGCAGCACCCACCAACTGGCACCTGGCCCAGGTGGTCCCCCAGGGTGTCACTGCCATGGAGAGAAGCACCGGGCCTTGCGCAGCTCAGGGCCTGTGAGACCTCGCAGCAGGCGGTGCAGGCAGGCTCGACCAAAGTGGGGGGGGAAAAAAAGTGGCAAGGAACCTGATCTTTTCTTTTTGTCCTCCTGGAGCTTGCCTGCCTGCCTGAGCTGTGCTCAGCCCTGTGCTCCCCTCTGGGGCTGCAGTGCCCCCCAGGACCACCTGGGCCAGGTGCTAGTGGACGGGTGCCACCTGGGGGGTACCACCACCATGAAGGGAAGCACCAGGGTTCCCCACAGCTCAGGGGCTACTCAGCCCACTGGCAGCTTGCCCCCCTCCCCTCCCCCATAGGAGAGGAAGATAAGCTCTAAGGATCAGGCCCCCTAACCCTTGTGTATATGTGACAGGGGTTTACTTCAGTTTAGTTCTCCCTAAATTGAAATGGTGGGTTTTTAAAAACTCACCATTTCAATTTAGGGAGAACTAAACTGAACTAAACCCCTGTCACATGTAGAAGCACCTAGGAGACTATGTTTGAATAGATCTCAATGACAGCAGCCTGTCTGGCAGCTGAGCCTTATGGTGGGGACACAGCTATCAGCTACTAGCATCACTTACCATACTCAAGAACTTACTAAGGAACAGTTCTCTCATAACAAGAACACACAACATTAGAGATGTACAAAGAAACTTACAGACTAAGTTAGATTCCTCCACACTGATAGATACAAGAGCAAAGAAACCAGATTCATTGTAATAAATTTCCTTAATCTTGTGGCCTTGTACATCTACCTATCCAGAAGCTACAGCTGGGAAGGAAATGAACAAATAGTGCCAAGTGTAGGAACAACAATAAAGTTTGTGCTTTTAAATGATTGTGTCATAGGTTCATAGCTGTATGTACTTCTTTTTACACTATGATGTTAAGAAAGATTGAGGGAAGGATTTAATAAGAGAAAGTGATATGGAAAAACCTCAGATCAAAATGCAGAGTCCAACAAAATTGTAATAGCTTACAATGCGAGTAAACCCAAGTTCCTATTGTGAAAATTTCTTTACATGATATGCAGCTCTTAACTGGTTAGGAAGGAGTAGTGGATTTTTTTAGTATAAGTAGGATTCTCTCTTGAAGGCCCTTCCTAGATTTTATGCAATTTTCTAACTGTTTAAGAGACCAAAAAGGACTAGAAGGTAGAAACCCCCTAATTCAAATGCAAGCTCTGATAGTGAATCATAGTCACTCCGCTATAAACAAAATGAGAAGAGTCATAGTCATTTGAGTTAGCAATAATATACTAACAGCAGCATGGAAGTGTCTATGTGTACCATTTGCCTTTTGCTCGGCAGCAGCTTTATTCTGCTTGGCAGCATGGGACTCAATCTGCTGATAGATTTCTCCCAAAATGACATGGTTACTTTTTGCCAAAATACGTTGCCTAGCTCCACTAGTGAATTACCTCTGTCAGTTAAATCAAATCAGTAGACTGATGGAGAGGAATCATAATTTGAACCATCCTATAGCTCAAAGGTCACAGAACCAATAGACAGCTGCCAATTAAAAGGGTCACCAGTGAACAGTGGGGACAGTGAAGGCATCAATTTATGTCTGTCACAAGCTTGTCAGAGAAAGTGAAAGAATTGGAGGGGTGAAAAAAAAGTAAAGATAAAAATTAAGAAGGAAAGATCCACTTAAGGATTTGCTTCTTTGTGAGTGGACACACAAACTCGAGGATAGTACATGATGGCAGTGACAAGCACCTTGAACACCACCAAGTTTCATCCATTTGTATCTCCATGGGTAGGACATAGTTTCAGCATTGGTTAAAGTACCAGACTACAAGTTTTATTTCAGATTCAAGAATAAAATTCTAAGCTTAAGGTTTAATGAGAGTTATGGACATCTCTAATGTCAACATGCAGCATAATACACAAAATACATTGATATCTAGTAATGACCCCGTTATTAAATATTGGTTTAGCATAAATAGTCAAATAGGCCTTAATGAGACACTTAATAAAAATATAAAAATCAGAAATGCCTCAAAAGAAAAAACTTACGCATGAGCGGAAGTAAACTAAAACAACTCTTCAGCACATAAGCACTTCAGTGAAATTATTGCCCTTATTGACTGAGAAATGTGGAATTTCATTGTGTCTGATTTCATATTTAATTCATGTCATAGCATCTCCTGATAAACGATACCACTTAGTATTGCATTCCAATCATCTACTTAAAACTGTTCTGCCAAATCCTGTTCCTGAACAATGTTAAATCAAAATAATATATTTATTCTTGTATCTTTTTGTTAATTTGGTGAATTTTCAGATTCCTATATGTTTCTTTCCCCCATCTTCATTAAATTCATCTCAGGAGCATTGTCATCTTCAAATTTGGAAATGTGCCTAACCTCTTAATAGTTCTAGAAGCCAGGAACAAATGCAGAAGGGGTACAGTGGCATGGTCCCACCCCACCACAGAAGCAGCAGCTGGGGACATTTTTTAAGTCCCTGAAACAAGCAAGAATTTCACCCCCCTTCCCCTCTGTGCTCAGCAGTATGTCCCCTCCCTTCCAATTCCTCCATCTCTCCTGCTGCAATCCCTGGCTAACTGAGGATAAGGGGAGCTCCAGAGTTGCTTCTGCCCCTCTCCAGCTGGGCTGCATGGGGAGCACTTGTGCTGTGCAGGGAGTTGGGCTGTGGCTCAGCCAGGGACAGTGGCAGCAGCTTCTTCCCTTTGGGTATTTTCTGCATCCAGGAGCAGGCTCAGGGAAAGGGAACCCCACAGCCACCACTGTCCCTAGATGAGCTCAGCTCCCCATGTAGCTGTTCCCCAAAGCCCCAGATGAAGCAAGACAGGAACAGCTCTGGAGCTTCCCCCACCCCTGGGTCAGGTGGGGTCAGCAGCAGCAGTGGACAGGGAAACAGGAAGGAAGCAGAAGTGCTGTTGAACATAGAGGAGATGTGGAGAGCTGGGAGGTCAGCAGGGGAGAGGGAGATTGTTACCTGATTCAGAGTCTTAAAAAAAAAAAAAAAAATACCCAGCTGCTGCTCCTACAGTGTGGTCTGCCTGCCCTGGTGGTAGAGACAGAGTGGGGAGGCTGGGAGCAAGGGTGGAAGCATACCTGCGCCACTCACTGCTCTTGCATCCGCCTTTGCAAAATCCTGTATCTGCCTATGTTAGAAGCTAACTGCTGATCAGCCTTTAGACAGCAATGACCTTCAGTCACCAAACAAAGTGCATTTGAACTGTTTATTTAGAACACTATTTTCTGAAAAAGTCATTATCTTGATTCCCTTCAGACTCCAGTTCCCCTAAAGAAAGCATCCCATTTAGGATGCTTAGAGATGTTAAAAACCCCCCACAAAACCCAAACCATGCTTTGCCAAAAGGAGCAGCATGTTACTTAGACCCAAGATATACAGATCAGGCACTTCAGAGTAGCTTTTTGGTGCTTTTATCTAATAGCCGATTCAATCAGCTATTAGATAAAAGAGCCATAAAAGCCCCATTGAAGCTCCCAATCTATACAGACACTGGGCAAGCTGGATCCAACTAATGCAATGCCTCTTCTGGGCATGCACTGGGCTCAGCACAGGAGTGCAATGAGTTTGAAGTGCCATTTTTTTTTAACATTTGTCAGCAGTCTTAGTAACTACTATGCAGTTTGGATAATATATTTATTTTCTCCTGCATCCAAAAACTCAAAGCATCAATCAGATGCAACTATTCCTACAAAGTGCCTTTTTAATGTCAATTGAGAGAAAAGAGGAACTCAATCTCTTTCCTCGCCTTATCAAAGCTAACAATTTTCTAATTGTATTTCCAAAGGCCAATGCAGTATACTACATAACTTCACTATTTTTAGATCCATGATAAATGGTAAAAGAAGGAGGTCCAATAAGTTTTATTACTAAAGCTATACTAAATATTTACTAGACAATACTTGGAAAAAGCAATTTCTTCATCCCATGCTACTGGTGAATGGAATAAGAGATGAAGCACAGGATTTTACACAAGATATAAAAAAATAAGTATTTATTTTATCTCCTTACCAAAGGAACCCTTCCTACTAGTAAAGATTCCGTTTCATTATGCAGTGCCTTCACATTGACAGCTATTTCAGTGGCAGTGTTTCTGGTAAGACTCTGGGAAATAGAAGCACAATAGTCAATTGAATGGCTGTATAGTAAACTTAAAAGTACTCATGATCAGTTTATGGTCTCAAACTTAACCAGATTCTCCAAAGCATGCCAAGTCAATTTCTCAGCTCTGCATTGAGAACTAGACATCTAGATGACTCACTTTGAAGTTATGGGAGTTTCACCCGTTTGCCTGAAGGCACAATAAGTCTGATCACTTTTTGTTTCAAAATTCAGAATATATGTCAGAAAGTGTACTGTATTTGTTGCTTGGTTTTCACTCTGCAGGCTTACTGAGTTCTTAGACATGCCTAAGGATCACACAGTCATCCACCTGTCAGAACAATGTATGGTCACCATGGCTGGCTCAGGACAGCAGAGAAATTCAAGGCCTTTTCTAATGAAAACTGTTAATTAGGATGATTCACATGACACATGAACTGGCCAGCTACAATTAAACAAACACTGATTAGTTGGTCCAGTTATCAGGATGATGAGCAGGGATCCTGGTTTTCTCCAATTTAAAAAAATCCAAAATTTTCAGTTGAAAAAAAAGTAACCCCAAATCCACATTTTTCCATGATTAAAATGAAACACCACTATATATATATCAGTGGTCTCCAACCTTTTTGGGTAGGAGATCACTTTTTGAATTAAAAAGCAACCCAAGATCTACCCTGCACCCCCGCCCCACCCTGCAGGTCAATCTGTGGGGAGGGAAGGGGGGGCGGGGCTGATTGAGGCAGAGGGAGAAAAAAATATTTGGGGGCACATCCGCCGCAAGGAGGTATGTTTGTGGGGGAAGGCAAAGGGTTGTGTGGGAGGCAAGTCAGATAGAGGTCACAGCTGTGAGGGAGGGAGCTGGGCACAAGCAGGAGCAGGGGCTGCGGGGAGTGGGCCTGGCCAGGCCGGATGGTGGGACAAGCAGAGGCTTGGAGGGTCCCCAGGCCTCCACTTGTCTCCCACTACCCCCAGCCCCTGCGCAGCTGAAGAGCCTGGCATCACCCTGGCCTCAGCCGGCCCACCCCATGTGCAAATCCAGGGGCACATGCCCCCCATGCCCTTCCAGGCTGCGTGCTTGCCCCTCCCTTCACCCCCCCGGATGAGCTGCTTGCAGTGCTGGCCCCTGCTCCACTCATCCCACTCACCTCTGCACGCAGCCCTCCCCACCACTGCTGCTGCCGCCAGAAGCCTGCAGCCGAGCTGCCTTGTGGCCCTACTGCGGCCCCGCATGTGTGGGAGGCTAAGGCTCCCCCCCTTCCATCACCTATGCCCCTACACCCCCTGCCACCAGGTGAGTGGGGCCCTGGTGTGGGTCAGAGCCTAAGCAGCTTGTTCAGGCACACAAGGGGGCTCCTGTCGCTGCAAACACCCCAGCAGAGGCCCGGGGGGCTCATTTCTCCCAATCTGTGCACAGTGCTTGGGGTACAAAGCCCAGCATGCAGCAGCAACTGCCTCTGCCCCACACACAGATCGGGAGGGCACATGACCCCCCAGGCCTCCACCAGGGTGCATGCTGCACGGAATCCCCCCTATGCACCTAAACCTGCTGCCCAGGCTCTGACCCTCCCCCAGTCCAGCCAGGGCCCTCATTCACCCCTGCCCCTGCCCCACTCCCTCCCTCACCACAGGACAGTAGGGCTTGGAGGGGGAATTGCCCCACTCACCCGGCCCAGCCCCGGTGGCAGGGGGCATGGCTCAGCCTAGCCATGTGCGTCCCGCTGCCATTCTGCTGCTCCCGGACTGTGCCCTGCTGCTCCCGATCGCAGAGCATTTGACAGTTAATCTCAGACTACAGTCAACTGTCAGAGGCTCCACGATTGACTAGTCCAGGGGTAGGCAACGTTTTTTGGCCAGAGTGCCAAAAGAACCACAACGTCTACCTTGGAAGGTGCCAGAGTACCGACATGCCGAAGTCCGGAGCAGCTGTTTGCAGCCACCTGGCTGCAGCCAGCCCATGGAGCCTGGTCTGCTTGCAGCAGGGCTTGCAGCCTCCCAGCTGCCTGCTGGGAGCAGCCTGGGCTCTGTGGCTGGCAGCAGCTGCTTAGAGCCTGGGCTGGTGGTGGGGTGCCGAGCAAAATGGCCTTGCATGCCATGCTCGGCACACGTGCCAGGGGTTGCTGACTCCTGGACTAGTTGATCGGGACCCACTGGTTGGTGACCACTTATATCTCTATATAGATATAGATCTATACATACATGCATATATATCTATATTAGTGGTGTTTCATTTAAATCACGGAAAAATGTGGATTTGGGGTTAATTTTTTTTTTAAACTGAAAATTGCGGATTTTTTTTAAATCAGAGAAAACCAGGTTCCCTGATGATGAGTGCTTTGGTAGACTATATTAGTAGATAAGCAAACTCTTGCTCTTGAAGCTACCCCCTGCACAAACTAAAATTATGATGTGAGATGCAGGGACCCTGCTTCTCCTCCTTCCAAAATTCCCCCAGCAGTGCCACATCTCAATACTCACACCGTTGGAGTGGGTGTGTGTCCATATGACTGGGGGACTGTGGCGTAGACACCCATACAGTCCAATGGGTCGCCAACTGGTTAGAGAGTCACACCCAGAGGGTGGTAGTGGATGGGTCCTTCTCGACCTGGAAGGACGTGGGAAGTGGGGTCCCACAGGGCTCGGTCCTTGGGCCCGCACTGTTCAATATCTTCATCAGTGATCTGGATGAGGGGGTGCAAAGCACCCTGTTCAAGTTTGCTGATGACACTAAGATGTGGGGGGATGTGGGCACAATAGAGGGGAGCAACAGGCTACAGTTGGACCTAGATAGGTTACAAGGATGGGCGGAGGAGAACAGGATGGGGTTTAACACAGACAAGTGTAAGGTGATGCACCTGGGGAGGAACAATCGGCACCATACATACAGGCTGGGGAACTCCCCTCTTGTCAGCACGGAGGTGGAAAAGGATCTGGGAGTCATTATTGACTCCAAGATGAACATGAGTCGGCAATGTGGGGAGGCGGCTAGGAAGGCCAACTGCACCTTGTCGTGCATCCACAGATGCATCTCGAGCAGGTCCAAGGAGGTGATCCTCCCCCTCTATGCGGCACTGGTCAGGCCGCAGCTGGAGTACTGCGTCCAGTTCTGGGCGCCGCACTTTAAGAGGGATGTGGACAGCATCGAGAGGGTCCAGAGGAGGGCCACTCGTATGATCAAGGGACAGCAGGGTAGGTCCTATGAGGAAAGGTTGCGGGACCTGAACCTGTTCAGCCTTCAAAAGAGAAGGCTGAGGGGGGATCTTGTGGCCTGTTATAAACTGGTTAGGGGGGATCAGCAGGCGCTGGGGGAGTCCCTGTTCCCCCGAGCGCCGCAAGGAGTGACCAGGAACAATGGTCACAAGCTGGCGGAGGGAAGGTTTAAGTTGGACATCAGGAGGCGCTACTTCACGGTCAGGGCGGCTAGAGTCTGGAACCAGCTTCCAAGTGAGGTGGTGCAGGCTCCCACCCTGGGGGTTTTTAAGAGGAGGTTGGATGACCACCTTACTGGGGTCATTTGACCCCAGTGCTCTTCCTGCCATGGCAGGGGGTCAGACTAGATGATCTGCTCAGGTCCCTTCCGACCCTAGAAACTATGAATCAGCCCAGATGCCTCTACTTGTTATTCTCTCTCTTTCAGCACTGTCACAATTTTTCTCTCCCCCAAGTTCTGTGTCTTCCTTTGCCCTGTTTAACCCCACTTAACAATTTCAATGTTTCCATTATGTTTTACCCTCCAAATTAGGTTGTTTCCACAAGAGTCTGTCCACCAGTACCTTCTTCCTCCCCACTGGAAAGGATGGGGTTACATGTCCTGGGGGAGGGGAAGGAGAAGAATGTTTTCTGCCACTTTCACTGTGTTCCAGAATGCTGGGATGTGCTCTTTGTCCCCTTTCCTATAAATGCAACCAGCAGGAAGGAAGCTGCACTCTCTCTCTCTGTGCATGTATGTTTGAAAGATCAGGGGGGCCTTGGATATTAGCAACCTCATTAGCAACTGCCCTAGCCACTGGAACATACCGTTCAGAATACGAAACTGCTTTAAGGTCTCTAGAAATATTCCTTCATACAGAGGGTCCATTTTAAAACAAATTTCAATTGTTTCTTTACCTCAGAAAACCTTGGATTGGCTTTATTTAATGCATGGGAACATGCATTGACAGCATGAGCAAGCTCTTGTTCCAGCAGGCTGTGCGTTTTTGCAGCTTCACAGATTCTATAAAAATAGTAAAAAACAGGAAAAAAGTGCTTTGTCAGTTTCTTTTAAGAACTAGTTAAAAACTGAGCTATGTTAGGTGACACTGGCAGATGGGAAAATCATTTAATAGAGTTTTAACATTAACTGTATTAGAGTCCTAAATATATTGCCATATAGCTAAAGCTTAAATAAAATATCACTTTTTAGTTCTGTCACCTAAACGGCATTCATAATACAAAAGATCTGTTCTGATACAGGAGGCTGAGGAACATTTATTGTCTTAACTGAAATATCTTCCTTCCACCAGTGATTGAGATAGCCATTCCGATCACAGATTCATAGAAAGTTAGGGTATAAGGGACCTCTGGGATATGGACAGACATGACATAAACTGGTTTAAGTGATCAGAAACTGGTTTAAACCTGTAACAGAACAGGTGTTCAGTGCATGTAAACCAGTCTGAAAATGACTGA